ATACAGCATTTTATATTGATGTTCACACTTTATTCCCATGATAGAGCAACTTCTGGGCTAAAAGTTCTTTAGATAAAACCCAGTAACCGTTTATCTCGGGGCACACCTACGCTCCTTACTGAGGGACCTCAGAAGGACTTTCAGGTGGGAGGATGGCGGTGCCCTTCAATAGGAAGACTCAGTTTCTCAAAATGTGTGCTCTTCCTGTGTTTATCAATTTTACAAACCAAATAAGTATGGTTTGAAAATGTTTGAGTTACGTTGGTTATCTTTCATTATTGTCATGAAATTGAGAAAAAATTTGTGTAGCAGACAAAGGTTTACCCTTCTAGATATCAGCATGTGCTATAAATTTCCACAAACTGTTTGCTTACTAGTAGCTGAAAAGACAGATAAATGATTGGGACAGAAGGGACAAACACCCAAATATACATAAGACTTTAGATCTTGCTACTGGTGACATTTCATGTTTGTAGGAAAAGGTCAAGTACAAAGGGTGGAGAAATACCTGTTAAGTATTTCAAGAAAACTAACTAGATTTTTATCTCCTCCATGTAAATTCTAGGTTGAATTNATGTTAAGTATTTGGAGAAAACAAATAGGTTTTTATCTCTTCCAAGTAAATTCAAGATTGAATTTTTTAAATACACAAAATGAGAAAAGTACCAGAAGAAAACACAAATGCCCATTTATACATTTTTGTTGTTGGTGGCAAAGACTTCAAAAGCAAGATTTCTGGAGGTTGCTTGAGCAATATAAAAAATGCAAACCCTCTGTCTATCAGAAAATATTAGCAAAATAGAAGAAAATGTACTTGCAAAATATTTACAACGTCTGTGTATCAGCGAAAAAGTGTATGTTCATTTTTCAGAGAAGTCTTTGAAATCAACAAGAAAAAACGAATTTGAAAGTGGACAAAGAACTTTTTGCTTATGTACAAGTGACCAATGGACAAAAAAAAAATATTTAGTGCCCCTGATAAAAAAAGGAATTTATGTTAAAAGAGGAGTAAAATAATGTTTTCTATCCACAGAATTTGTGAAGACGACCAGGGATTGTCCTTATACTGCTGCTTAAAGTTTAAGTTGCTTCTGACTTTNGAAGATGACCAGGGACCGTCCTTATACTGCTGCTTTAAGTTGCTTCTGACTTTTGAAATAGGCAATTTGGTGCTGAGTACCACACTGAAAAAAAATATATCCTATACCACCAATTCTATTTATACGAACATATCTTTATGTAATAATTAGATAAATTACATACAATTTGTTTTTTCCAGCACTGCTTAAAATAGCAGTGTATTAAGAAAATATCAATTTGATTATACATACACACAAGCAGACTATCATTTTATGTTAGCTGAAAATATGTGCAAAGTGTAATAAAATTTATTTCTGAGCATTATAGATGAATATATTTTTTTAAATCTGGTTTCTACAATGAACATGTACAGAAATTCTAGTAGATATTATGAATGAAATCATCCTAGGGAAGAGCAATAATATGAATCTTGCACAGATAAAATTATTTCTCACTTTCTATTTTGTTTCTTCCTGAAAATTTTTTGAGGATTGGTACCTTTTGACAACTTTTAGCCTCTTCACAAGTAAAAGACATCTTTTTTTTAAATTGTTGATACTATATGTCCCCCATTTCTCCCCATTTAGTGCCCCTCCACTCAGCCCCCTTCAGCCTTCACCACATTGTTGTCTGTGGCCATGGGCTATCCATATATGCATATAAATTCTTTGGCTAATCTCTCCCAGTTCCCTCCTCCTCACCCCAAGATCCATCTATCTGTTCCATGTATCCATGCCTCTGGTCCTATTTTGTCAGTTTGTTTTGTTCATTAGATCCCATGTATGAGTGATATCATACGCTGTTTGTCTTTTTCTGCCCCATTTCGCTTAGCATAATACTCTCCAGGTCCCTCCATGCTGTCACAAAGGGTAAGGGTAAGAGATCCTTTATTTTTATAGCTGCATAGTATTCCATGGTGTAAATGTCCCACAAGCTTTTTTATCCACTCATCTACTGATGGGCACTTGGGCTATTTTTTATCTGTGCCTGTAGAGTGTATGTATATAATTGTACATACATATTTTTTACTTTATATAGCTTCAGTACATATACTATGTAAATGATTATAGATTAATTATTTTAGTTGTGTCTTTCTGAAAATAAAAGATAAAAAATTATGCCCTGACCAGTGTGGCTCAGTTGGTTGGAGCTTTGTCCACATACCCCTCCCATACACTGAAAGGTCGCTGGTGGTATTCCCAGTCAGGGCACATATCCAGGTTTCAGGTTCAATCCCTGGTCAGGGTGCCTATAAGAGGTAACCAATGGATGTTTCTCTCTCCTCCCTGTCCCTTCCTCTCTCTCTAAAACCAATTAAAAAGAAAAAAATAAATTTTAAGAAAAGTTAAAATTTTTGTTGTTGTTGTTGACAGTATTACAGATGTCTTCCATTTTCTTTCTTTTTGACCCACCCAACCCCCTCCCCACCCAAGGCCTTCTCCATACTATTGTCTGTGTGCATGGGTTATGCACATATGCATATATGCCTTTGGTTAATCTCTTCCTGTCCCACCCCCTCACCCCCGAGATCTGTTATTCTATTTCATGCATCCATACCTCTCGACCTATTTTGTTCATCAGTTCATTTTTGTTCATTAGATTCCACATATAAGTGATATCATGTGATACTTGTTTTTCTCTAACTGGCTTATTTCTTTAAATAAAGCAAATATCAGTGATTATTACTATTGCAGAAGTATCATTTTACTTTATAAAAGTTTTCTTTAAACTTTTCTTTGAACTCTCCCACTATGTTTATCCATTTTTTCAATCCATTTGTACATGAAATATAACCTGAATGCCTATTATGCAACGGACATACTCTACTCAGGACGTTTTCAATCTCTCAGGCCCCTTTCATCCTTAAAATCTTCATGTTGCCCAATATGAGCAAAATGAGAAATTCAAAATTGAAGTATTATCACCTAATCACCGTTGAAGCTTATTCTCCCTCCTTTCAAGCAAAAGTATTTCTGAAGGTAGTAAATTGTAAAAGATGACCTTTACCTGCCCTTTTGAAAATGTATAATAGTGTTAAACACTAATATTGATCATTGGGAAGATTTGCTTTCCATACAATCTATAAATCTAAATATTGAACAAAATGAGCCATTCTTTTCATTTAAATCCTGAGTTTCCTTTGGCTTAAATTTTCTTGAAAATCAAAGTAAGAATTACTTAAAAAAATTCTTGTTTTGTTCTTTTGGTTCTCTTTCCCCCATAAGGCTTTTAAGAACTAAAACTTATTTAAATGCCAACCATTTGAACAGAAGTGCAACAGGTCTGTTGTATTGACCATTGTTCACTCAGTGAAAGGCGCCCTGGACGGTATGATGCCAGTATTTTATGTATCAATAAGAGTTTTTTTAAACAATGCTGCCAACTATAGTTGTAAGACATTCTGAATTAAAAATTGGATTCCAATGTTGGAGATGTGAAAAAGTGAGAGAATAAGCATCTTAGAATCATTGAAATACTCAGTATTCTTTCTGATCCTTAAAAGATGCCTGCAAAGTAGGTATAATGATACCACTTTACTTAATTGAAATGTTGTCTTTGTAAAGTCGTAGTAATAGTAATAGTGATACTAATATTATCTAACAATTATTGAGCAGTTTTTTGGTGCTAGGAACTGTTGGAAATGCTTTGCATAGATTCTCATTAAAGCAAACTGGTGTCCTGTGAGATAACTACTATTTTTATCCCCATTTTGTTGATGAGGAAATTGAGGCACAGAAAGGTCAAGTGATAGCTAACAAGTGACGGTTAAAACAGGATCAGACTCAAGCTGAGCTGAATGCCCAGGTCACCCTCTGTTCAGACAGGCTGCTGCTTCATTAATGTGCATAACAAGAACTAGTAAATATTGTACTGTCCCAGAAAAAAAAAGGTTTGTATTGAAAGTGTAGGGACAAATGTTTACAATTACATGAATAACTGTGTATATTGAGATAGTGCATTCTAAGTTCCTAAAGAGTCCTCTCACTTTCATAGGACTGCTCTACATGTGGCCTGTGTCAATGGCCATCCCAAAGTGGTGACTCTCCTAACAGACAGACAATGCCTGTTGGACCTCGGTGACGTTGAAAACAGGACGGCTCTGATTCAGGTAGGTACTAGCCAACTATGTTAACATGCGATGGATTTGATGTAATCACTTAGAATAAAAATTTCTCTCATTTAACTATAAGTCATTGGTGAAACTTGTGGAACGTTTACGTTGAATTCCTAGAATTTATAATCTATTTCTAGGCATAATATTGACAGGCCATACAATGCCAGCAAGAAGAGTGTGCAGCTATTCTGCTAGACCATGGTGCTGATCCAAATATAATGGACAACCATGGCTACACCGCCCTCCACTATGCTGCCCTTGGTCCCAGTAAAGCTATGGTGGAAAAGCTGCTTTTCCACGATGCAGATACTGAAGCAAGAAATAAGGTATAGATCAAATAACTTTATTTACAAAGTATTTGAAATACACATTTTTACTTTAGTTGCAAGCATTTTCTTTCTCACACACATGCACTGAACACAGTATTATCAGGCCGTCACCATGGCAACAACTCCAAAGCCCAGTCAGGGAGGGCTGGAGAAATGTAGTGCCCACGGAAGGGGCAAAGCTCTGTCTCCCAGCTACCCTTCTACCCCAGGAGGACAGCTTCCTCTTAGGGCCTGGGAGTGGGTGGGAGGCTCAGAGCCCAGAGGACTGAAGGCCTGGGGGAGTGAAGTGATGGTGGGGACTGGCTGCTATGCTGGCAGAGGCTTAGGAAATGGGTGCTGCTGGGCACGAGTGGGAGGGGGAGACCTAGTGCCCAGCAGGGGGAGCTGGGGGAGTGCAAGTGGGAAGAGGAAGCCGCAGTCCCCAGGCAGTAAAGGAAGGACAGCATACCAGGATAGGTACTGTGATAGGAACAAAGAGTCTTGGAATCAGGACTGTAAATATCTGAAGTGGGATCTGGAGAATGATGTTGAAGTTAACCTGTTGAAAAGGGAGTGNCTCACACCACTTGCACTTGCTAAATATGAAAATAAACAGAAGATGGTGTGGAGCTGTTGGTAACTAGAGGTGCAAAAGTTGACCAGATAGAAAGGTACAATAGTTTGTTCTTCCTTTTTAGTTTGTATTTGGAGAGCACATTTATTAAAGCTGGGGACAGTGAAATAAGGAAGGGCTTAGGATAGAAGCAGCAACAGGAGAGAGCCTAGGTGGAGCTGCTTTGGCTCAGTGTAAACTCAGAGAAAAGGGGCCTTGGAGACGGGTTCAGAGGGCTAGCCCAGGATGAGCTTCCACTGCCCACTGCTCCCCTGGTTGCAAGTCTGATGAGGTCTCTTAGAGTTTAGGAGATGGAAGCCTGAGAGGGTGAAGAGGGANTCAAGTCTGATGAGGTCTCTTAGAGTTTAGGAGATGGAAGCCTAAGAGGGTGAAGAGGGGCAAGGGAGAGGCTCAGGAGTGCTCCCAGGAGGGAGAGTGTGCTTCTTTTTTTTTTTTTTTAATCTTAGTATTGATCTAGAGTGGTAACAATCATTCAAGTCTGAGAGATTAAATTAACAAGAAGAAGATTAACATATAGTAAAAAATATGAACATATCATCAGTTAGGTAGAAAAGCAATTATTCTGACTGGGCAACTAGAAGAGCAGTATACTGGAGAATTCATATTTATTTATAATTTTGATTGATTTTAATTTTCATCATGTTATTTTATATTAGCTAGAGGGGTTTCATATTAGTTTTATTAATTTTATATTTTATGGACTCTTCACTGTTAGTTTACTTGATGATACAATAGTGGACTTAATCTCTTTTACAGTTTTTTTAACCTTTATTTTGTATATAGTTTTCCTTAAAAGGTGCATGTTAAATATGAATACAAGTTGATTTGGTCTGTTGGATGATCCTTTGCTTTAAATTACTTTGTTTGACGAACACTGATATAATTAGGTTTTCCCTACGTGACTGTGAAAACTGCTACCAGATAGCCTGGGCTCATAGTTATTATTCTCTTTCATTTCTAGTATATTTTGATGTTTTTAGTTTTTATTGGTATGGGTAGAAGGAGAAAGATAACTTTAATTGAATTAACACTTCCTTTAATGAAGGCAAGTCATATGTGAGTGATAAGAGACAAGTGCCTTCAATTCACACAAAACGGGGCTTAATGCCCAGCTTTCCTGCTTGCCAGGTGTGTGACCTTGGGAACGTTTCTTAGCATTTCCAAATATGTTTCTGGATATGACAAGGAGGATAGTAATACATCCTTCAAGGGTGATTGTGTGTAAGATTATCTAGTGGTTTTATCTTGTAAATGTTTACTTTAAAATGCTAGTTAACAGGAAACAGGTTTAAAGTAATTTCACTGTTAACTTTTCATGTAACAGGTGAGATTTAAAGCAGTTTGGGAATGGCAGTGAGTTAGTCTATGTCATCAGCCAGAAATCAAGCAAAAGGCTAGACTAGTTAGAAATAGCAATGGGCCAGATTCTTTATTTCAGGACGTTTAAGATCTTTATCAATAGGGATCCTAACGTCCATTTCATTCCAAGTGGAACTTCTATGCATGGGGTTACAAATAAAGTCTCATCTCTGATTTTTCTAACTAATTACTTGGGTTCTTGAAGTGTTCACATTAGCAGAAAAATGTGTATTTGTTGGGGGCTATCTCCTATACTCTCCCCCTTGAATTTTGTAGGAACCTAAAGGATTCCCTAAGTCCAAGGGAGACAGTCTTCTTTCACAAGTCAGATGGAGATGTGAAAAGGACATTCTGATCTCTCTGTTGTTTCCATTGGTTCTATTGCTGCAGAGTTGCTATTGAAACAGGTCCTAAGTCAAAATTGATCTTTGCTCCCAGGCTGCCCTTGCTGATCCAGATTCCTGAGAGTTCATGTTGATTCACCCTTGGACTTGAAAGTTATAGCACTTTTTAGTTTACATACATATGCTTATATGCTCATCCACTGTTCTAGTTACCAGCACCATGTTCTGGCAGCTTGGCCTCCTAGCTCTAGTTACCCATAGCCTTCCTCTGACACTGAAAAACCAATGTGGAGCTCACATCTTAGCCCAGACCTTCACTGACGAGTTACCCCATTACCCTTTGAGCTTCTTGTTTGTTTTTTCCTGGTAGCAGGTGTTAGCTGGAACCATTCTAAGCTGTCAGAGAGGTTCAAATAATGCTGCAGGAAAAGACCAAACTTTCCTTTCTCCTTTGTTACCAGATCTGTACCCCAAGGTCACTTTATATCCTGTAGGGCATCTTTGTTTGTGTAGTAGAAGGTCCCATATCACCTTTCCCAGAATAGTAGGCACCAACTTGCCTGAGATTCCATAATTACAGTTGTCCCCTCAAGTGATATCTTTGCCCTAATAATGACACTTTCCCAAGTGACTTGAATTTATTTCAGGCTTCAAAATATTTTAAATTATAACTCACATGGAAGTCAGTCAACAGAAAGCTCTGAGTCAAAAGTAGGTTATTGGGCATGAGACTTGCTAAGGCCCATCCATGCCTCATCAATATCCATGAGTTACAAGTAGGATTCTAACTCCCAAGCTAAATGGGGGTGGACAGGGAGATTACACATCATTCTCATAAAGATCTGCTTTATCACAGTTTGAGTAGGTAGAGAAGGGAGAGTGGGAGTCAAGACCAGATCCTGACTTCTTTTAGTTTGTTATCTGACTTCATGAGGTAATATATTTGTAAATAAATTTAGTTGCAAGTTATATACTAGTTAATAACCAAAATTAATAACATTTTCTAAAAACTGCAATATTTGAATGTTAGAAACTATGAAAAACCCACATTGGTGTTTATTTGGGATTCCAAAATAGTTTCAACAAATAAAGTTCATGAACAGGTTTATTCTTTGCCTTACTCTTTCTCTGAACATGTCTTTTTGCTGTACTATCTCATATANATGAACAGATTTTTTCCTTTGCCTTACAAAGGAAAGATGTCTCTATGAACATCTCTTTTTGCTGTATTATTTCATTTAATAGTCCTAACAGCCTTCTAAAATAAGGCAGTATGATTTGTGTTTTGTAGAGGAGGACTTTGAGCCAATGAAAAGTGACTTGTTTGAGAACAAATAGCTGATGGTTATAGAACTATGATGTCTGAGTTGAAGACACTTGCCATTATGTCAAGCTAACACTAATTAATTCACTGAAATATATTGCCCTCAAATCATGACTGTTTCATGGTACTTTCTTTTAAGTGATGTGCTTAATAAAAAGTTTGTAGAACTTACAAATTTGAAGTGTGTGGTATAATTAAAGTTTTGATATTAGCTCTGATATTACCGAAATATTCTAATAATTTACTATATTTGGAAAATATTTTCCTATTAGTATTAATGCAGTAATATTATTTATCACTATTTTTTATACACAGCAATCAACAACTAAGTTCTGAATATGGAGAAGAACGGCGATCTGTAAAATCTTCTGAAAGGAGCGATCTTGGTAAGACTTCTGTTAGTGAATTACTCTAGGTGGTACCACCATAGATAATGTAAGAGTAAGGAAGTTTTGATAAAGAAAGAGCAGTTAAAAAAAACACAATGTGTAAGTTACATGTATAGTTTTCCTTAATTTCTTTCTTAATAGAATAGTATTCAATATTATTTTCAAAGTTAATTGTAGGTGATTTAAAATCTGGGGCAATATTGTTTGAAAAACAGTTCTTTTATTTAGTCATGACCCCTAAAATCCCATATGATATCTTTGGGTAAAAAAGAAAAAAGATTTTAGGCTGGGATGTAGTATGTTTCCTCTATAATTGCATTATAACAAATTGGATTTGTTAAAAAAATGGATCTTTTGTGCAGTTTTTACAGCAAATGGATTACACTAAGTAAATGAATACTTGTTATTACATAATGATTTGCCTCACTAAAAAGTCACTAAAACTAGGAACTGAACAATACTTTCCTGGAACCAGAAACCAATGGCTAATGATAAGAACTACGACACTTAGCTAGTGTGCAACAGTCCCCATGAGACTGCTTTTTAAAAATATCTACCAATAGTACAGAAGTCATAGAGGCAATGCCAGTTGAGAAGCAGAGGTTATTTTACATATTATACCAACATGGTTTCACTATGATCAACTTCATTCCTCAGAAGTCAAAACAGAATGAGGCACGTTGACTTCATTAGAACAAGACGATCCTTCTGCTTGTTGGATAATTGTCATGACACTGTAATTTCCTTAGAACCAGATGCTCTGTTGCCAAAGCATAATCATAAGCATAAGCATAAGCATAATCTTGGTCAAAAGATAATCATAATAAATATTCAAATAGCTCAACTTGGGACTCAACAAATTATGATAAAAGTAGAAAAAAGTTTCACAATAACAAAAATGCCAGTGTGCTACCCAGCTATGGCACTGACTTCATTGTGCAACCTGAACTGTATGAGGACGCCTTTGACTTAGTAGACCTTTATCAAAGAACTTGTGAAGGTTAGTTTTGAAAATTATAAGAAACACAAAGATGAAATAGAGTTTGACCTTGAAGGTGCTCATAATATCAGAGAGCTGTGCCTGGTTTATTTCTGTGGTTTTTTTTAAACAGAATTTTCAAAGAGAATTTCAATATTCAGTTATTCATTTGTCAGCTTAATGGTTTGCTATTTAATTCTCAGGTGCCTTTTAGGTACTAAGTATTATTCTGATGTTGCAGAATTCAAACATTTAATTAATTAATTTTTAAATATGTTTTTATTGAGTTCAGGGAGAGGAAAGGAAAGGGAGAGAGAGAGAAATATCAGTGATGAGAGTTATTGATCCCCTGCCTCCTGCATGACCTGGGGATAGAGCCAGCAACCTGGGCATGTACCCTGACCAGGAATCAAACTGTGACCTCCTGGTTCCTAGGTAGATGCTAAACCACTAGGCCACACCAGCTGGGCTAGAATTCAAACATTTAAAAAACCCAGTCCTTGTCCTCCAAGAGCTTGTTATCGTTATTGTCATTTTTACTGTTTACTATACTTTATTCAGTGCTTACTAGGTGCCAGAGCACACTAGGAGGTTATAATTGTTGTTTATTCTGTTGTATTGCTGTGTAGTATGTGCCAGACACTTTAAATCCATGGTGAGAATTAAGTTTTAAAAATGTGTGTGAGACCTTGGCCAGGTAGGTCAGTTGGTTAAAGCGTTGTCCCCAAATGCCAAAGTTGTGGGTTTGATCCTGGTCAGGGCAAATACCAGAATCAACCAATGAATGCATAAATAAGTAGGACAACAAATCACTGTTTCTTTCTGTTTCTCCCTTCCTTTCTCTCTCTCAAATAAATTCAAAAGAAGATTTATAATTAAAAAATAAAAATTGTAAGTGGGATGTAAAGAAAGCATGCAGAACGCGAAGAAGTTTGCCAGGTAAAGGGGCAGAAGGGTGATGTTAAGCAGGAGGAACATCTATGGAGATTACACGTTTGGCAGCAGGATTGTTTTGGTGATTCCATGATGTCATCAGGATCCCAGTTGTCCCTTTTCAGCTGCGTGGTCGTCAGTGTTAATGTGTCTTTTCCTGGCCAGCTACTTAGTGAGCGCTCCGAGGCATCATATTCTCCCATGACAGTGTGTAAAGGCTGGAAGAACTGCTTTTCTTTATGCGCTTCTCCTTTCCTTTGACATTTCTTGTTAAAAGTATAGTTGGCACACATTATATAACTTTCAGGTGTACAGCATGGTGGTTTGACATTTACATACTTTAGGATGTGATCACCGTAATAAGTCTAGTCACTATCTATCTCCATGCAAAGTTACTACGATACTGACACATTCCCTGTACTGTACAGTACATCTGAGTGGCTCACATATGTTATAACTGCAAGGTTCACTTATTCATGTTCTTCTATATCATTCGTCTCCTCAACTCACTACTCTCTGGCAAACATGAGTTTTTTCTCTGTAGCTATGGGGTGTGTTTCTGTTTTGTTTGTTTTGTTGTTTTAGATTCCACATGTAAGTGAGACATACGGTATTTGAATGTGTTTGAATGTTTTGGGTGTTTTTATTGTTGTTGGTCTTTAGTTTCATGCCCTGTGATCTGAGAAGATGCTTGATATGATTTCAGTCCTCTTGAATTTGTAGAGACTTAGTTTGTGTCCTAACATGTCGTCTGTCTTTGAGAATGTCCCATGTGCACTTGAGAAGAGTGTATATCCTGCAGCTTTGGGGTGAAATGTTCTGTAAATATCAATTAAATCCATTTTATCTAGGTTGTCATTTAGGATTGCTGTTTCCTTATTGATTTTTTTCTCTAGAAGATCTATCTATCAATGAGGTGTTAATGTCTCCAACTGTGATTGTGTTGCTGTTTGATCAACTCTTTAAGTCCTCCAGAAGTTTTTTTATACATTTAGTATTATTAAATGGCCTTCATTGTCTCTTTTGTCAGATATGAGTAATGCTATTCCAGCCTTTTTTTGATTTCCATTTGCACAGAAAATTTTTTTTCATCCTTTCACTTTCATCCAGTGTGAGTCTTTTGTTTGGAAGTGGGTCTCTTGTAGACAGTATATATATGGCTCTTGGTTTCTTATCCATTCAGCTACCTTATGTCTTTTGATTGGAGCATTTAAGCCATTTACATTTAAGGTTATTATTGATAGGTACTTACTTGTTGCCATTTTTTCATTATGACTTTTTTCCTCCCTTTCTCTATTTCTTCTTCTTTTAGTAGTTCCTTTAGCATTTCTTAAAGTGCTGGTTTGGTAGTACTAAATTCCTTTAGCCTTTTTTGTCTGTGAAGCCCCTAATTTCACCGGCAATTTTGAATGATAGCCTTGCTGGGTAGAGTAATCTTGGATTCAGTCCCTTTTTTTTCATTACTTTGTATACTTCATGCCACTTCCATCTGGCTCGAAGTGTTTCTATTGAGAGTCAGCTCAGAGTCTAATGGGAGCTCCCTTGTAGGTAACTTTCTGTCTCTCTCTTGCAGCCTTTAAGATTCTTTCTTTGTCTTTTACTTTTGCCATTTTGATTATGATGTGTCTTGGTGTGGGTCTTTTTGGGTTCATCTTGATTGGGACTCTCTGTGTTTCCTGGACTTTTTTGTTTTTCTTCTTCTCCAGCTCAGGGAAGATTTCTGTCATTATTTCTTCAAAGAGGTTCTCTATTCCTTGCTCAGGTTCTTCTCCTTCTGGTACCCCAATGAAGTGGATGTTGTTACCTTTCATGTTATCCAAAGCTCCCTTAAACTATCCTCCTGCTTTTAATTTTTCCCCCCCAGTTGCTGCTCTGAATGGGTGTCTTTTTCTACCTTGTCTTATAATTCACTGATTCTTCTAGTCTACTGTTGAATTCTTCCATGGTATTCTTTATTTCAGCTATGTTGCTCTTCATTTCCAGTTGACCACTATTAATTGTTTCAACCTCTTTTTTCAATGCTAGTGTAGTTAATTTATGTTTGTTTTTTGTTTTCACATCTAAGAAAAATACGCAAATCCAGTCATGAAGGTATACACCTATGTTATTATTTTTTAAAGGCAAATAATTGATAATTTGATGCTTGTGAAAAACATTTGCATCACAAGAGAAAACCAAGACAGAGAATGCTGGTCAACAAAAGTGCCCCCAAGATCGGAACAGAACACTAGTACACTCAAAGTTACACCAAAAAGAATCAACATAAAATGTACAAGATTAGCTATCTACATAGGTTACCCATATCACATCATGGTTTATGAGTGTGTGGTTGAGGATATTGTCTATGAGGAACTAGAAGGGAGAAAGAGAAGTACAGATGAGCTCAGCAAAAGGGTCAGGGCTGGAAATGTTGATGAGGGAATCCAGTCTGAAGTGTTGAGATTTAAGGAACTCTGAGAGAATTTTAAGAAAGGAATAGACTGCTCTCTATCTATAAGTCTGTCTCTGTTTTGCTTAGTAGTTCAGTTTGTTCATTAAATTCCAGCTATGAGTGAAATCATATGGTACTTGTCTGCTGATGGTGTTGGTGGTGTTGGAGGGGGCTGTAGGGATGGAGCGAAAAAGAAAACTAGAGAGTACTCATGGACATGGACAACAGTGTGGTGATTGCAGGGCTGTGAGGGGATTGGGTGGAGGTGGAAGAGGGCATTAGAAGGGAGACATGTTGATGGGGAAAAAAAAAGAAGTGAGGTAGAAAAAGAATAAAAAGTAATAAAAAAGAAAAATGTGAAGCTGGGTGATGAACCTATGGAGGGTAAATATAATATTCTATCTTCTTTTGTTTGTGTTAGAAATTTTCTATAAAAAAGCTAAATAAAACAGATTGTCTTAGGTGACCACTATCTGTATCTGCTGCTTGACTGAGCTCTCCCAGTTCCTTCTTCAGACCACTCCTCTTCTGCATGTGTCTTCAATTCAAGTCTATCAGCTTTGAGCCTGTCGGCTTTCTGTCTTTTAGAAATTCCTCATAATTTCTGTTGTATTGATTATATACTTATTTTCATGTGCTAAGTATACAGTCTCTAGCCCATATCTTTAGCTAAATGTGTTGATATAAACAAAGACCATCAAATTATAAAACCAGGTATTGAGTTTCTTAAACTTGTTATATCTCCCCTCAACTTCAGTGTAGCTCTAGCTTATGGCATTCAACAGGGTGAAGACAAATAAACGTGCTACCACTTTGTTCCAAACAAACAAAAAATAAATAAAAAAGGAATAGAAAGAGTCGAGGACTGTCCATCATGTAGAAATGAATTGGGGTTGGAGGCCCAGAGGGTGGGGGTGTGGTCCTTGTTCCCAGTAGCTGTGGGAAGTAAAGCAGCACAGGGCCTAAAGGACCCTCAGGAAGTGCTTGGGGCATTTACAGGGTTGGAGTCGATTCTCCTGTCAAAGGAGAGGAGTGGGGAGAGCAGGAGCCTGAGGGTGAGCCTGCGTTAAAGAATGCTAGCGTTGAGTGGAAGTGGGGAGCAGGATGATGGAAAAAGCTACAAGGATCAAGTAAAAGTTATGTTTTTATACAATACAGAGAAGACAAACTTTGTTTAAAGAGAATAGTGTTTAACAGAAAAGGAGAGATTGAAACTTACGGAAGAAGCTTACAGAGAACGAGAGCATCTCATCCTAAAATCAGATTTGCGTGGGAGTTTTTCAAAGATTATCTTAGTAAGATTTGATTTAATAGAACCTGGAATATGTTGAATTATTAATGAAAATGTTTCTAAGACAGCTTTAGAAACTAAAATGTCAATATAGCCATTCTCTTAAAGATTTTTTTTTTAACACTTAGTGTTTTATATGTCAAAACATTTGTTTTAACAAATTTTGGCAATTTAAATTCCAGACAAAAAGTGGTGAAAATGTAAAGTCAACTTAAGCTGCTGTAAGAGGTCATTATTTTTCAAATCTGTCCTTATTGGCACCAGGTTTATAAACTAGATTTTATAAACCTGTCCTAGTTTATAAACCTGTCTACTACGTTTTATAAACGAATAATACACATATTATTCATGAACTCATGAGAAATCATATTTTTAAGAAAGAAGAGTGTCTAGATTTTTAAAAATAATTTTCTTTAAAAATGTTTTTCACAGATTCAGCATGAAAAGAAACAGGTAATGAAGTGGGTTGAGTTAAAATTCTCTCTGGAGTCTCGCCTGCGTGAAGGATTGAAGAAGACGGGTGAACTGGAGAAAGAGCTCACTAGATAAGGTTTTAATATTTCAGACCATTTCCACTTGGAATTAAGATTTAACTGTCGCCTGGCTGGGCGTGGCTCAGCAGTTGACCATTGACCTAGGATCCAGGAGATCCATTATTAAGTTACAGTGTTCAGTTTTAAAAAATGTAAATGGATTCTATTATTTTTTGAGTTATCAGAATGTATGAATACTAATAAAAAAGAAAGATTTTATGCTAAGTGAAATGAGCAAGTCAGAGAAAGACAAATACCATATGAACTCACTAATATGTGGGATCTAATGAACAAAATAAACTGAAAAACAAAATGGGACCAGAGGCATGGATACATGGAACAGACTGACAAATGTCAGAGGGGAGGAGGTCCGGAGGGCCTGGAGAAAGGAAGGTGAAGGGATTAGCTAAAGAACATCTATGCATAGACCATGGACACAGACAACAGTGTGGTGATGGCCAAGGAGGGAGGGGGGTGGGGGCTGGTTAGAGGCGGCAAAGGGGCAGAAAACGGGGGACATCTACAATAGTGTTAACAATATAAAATTTAAATAAAAAAGGAAGATTTAACTTTATAATTTAGATTTAATTTAGTTGTCATAATATTTTAAACCAGCTTACTTTCATGTTTAAAGCTGCTCTGTGACTCGACTCAAAATTAAAGGAAACAAATATAATTATTCAAATTATACTTATTTTTAAAATGTATCCTTATTTGCTTTAGGTGAAATCATCTCAAGAAAATCTAGAGCAGTTAAGAAAGAATTATGATGCTTCATTAAGAAGAGAATTGGAACTCAGAATTAAAGATCTGGAATCTGAACTCTCTGAAATGAAAACCTTTGAAAAATATGAGCAACTCTACCTGAGAGAAAACCAATGTACAAAGTCATTGTCAAATCAACTAGTCAAGTAAGTCAGAACACAAAATCAGAGAAAATAAACTAACCTCATTAATTAGTTTCTAAAGCATAATTTTTATCAAGCCAGGTTCATAAGATTAGTAGGAATGGAAGTTAACCAAGTAGTATAATTTTGGAAAATGATGTTAGTAAATGAACTTATCTAGCAAATGTTTGTCCAGGACAGTTTGCATCTCTTCCTCACTTTTGGTTTTACATGACTTTATTTTTCCCCCCTTAATATTTTCCTAAGTTAACCTACATGATCTACTAGTCTTTAAGCTAAGTGTTTTTGAAGCTTTATAATTTAGACAGCGATATTTTTATAAAGTTGCTTGTTGTCATTACCCTAAATAGAAATATTAACGAGTTTAACTATTTTTAGAAAATAGCTTAAACTGAAAGGGTTAAGTGCTGGGCACATTCTGGCGCTTGGTAGATTTACTTTCTTCATTGTCGTTTGTTATTATCACTAGAGGGCGCCTTGAGACAAACTATCCTTTATAGTTTTTCTGCTCAGAGGCACGCAGGTTAATGGGGAAAGATTGACAGGGGAGAAGGGCCGTATGATTGACACAGTTGCTAAAAAGAATGTGGTGGAG